CCCAAGATGTAGGTGTTGTTGACACTGAACTGGGTGAACAATTGCTGTGTTATTTACTGCTTTATTATTACTGATTATTAGTTGTTAAGAAGCAGATGTCACAGTGGATGTATAACCTTGGGAATAACATCCATCGTGTGCTTGCCAGAATTTTCAAGTTGTAATTGCAACAGATGTTGAAGTAGCCGAGAATAAGGCATTGGCGGTGTCTTGAACTGCCTGTTAGCCATTCTTTCCCCGTTTTGGTAACGGCGAGGCGCATTAACTTGTTGATGTGGTGCAGCCGGGATGGCTACACTGGCAACTTGTTGGTGATAATGAGGTTTTGCCCAACCTTTACCTCTGTAAGATGATATTGAACTGACATATACTTCTCTTTTCTTTGGGTTTCCATTGTACAACTTTTTCATCCCTCCTGATGAGGATTCTGCTTCACTTTGTATCTTTCCTGTCTTGATACCATTTTCTACTCCCTCCCATGCCATAACTAGATCTAAGAAACTCCCAGACATACGACCAACTAATTTTTCATAGTATGTCCCTGGCAATGTAGCCATGAACATATCAACCAACTCTCGCTCCATCATCAGAGGTTGAACTCTACCTGCCAATTCTTGCCACCTCTGGGCGTACTCTTTGAACCCTTCATTGCTTCTTTGCCATAGATTTTACAGTTGCACCCTATTTGGCGCCAAGTCACTATTATATTGATAATGGTGAACAAAAGCTTCCCCCAAATCCCTCCAACTTCTTATATGTGTCATCTCTAACCCCATATACCACTCTAGAGACGGACCTGATAAACTGTTTTGGAAAAAATGAATCAATAAATTTTTCATCGTCTGAATACACGAACATCTTTCTAAAATAAGCCCGAAGATGTACTCTAGGACAAGTTGTTCCTTTGTACTTGTCAAAGTCTGGTACCTTGAACTTCGGGGGAATTCTAACCCCTGGTACAAGTCCCAAATCTAACATGACGAGTCCCAAAGAGTTTTAGTTCTCGTAGACTCTCGTTTTATCTTCAATTAACTTGAATCTCTTGTCAGCTTTTGAAGGAAGGACAACATCTATATCCCTCATCGAAAATATTTCATCTTGATTATCTTCTTCCCATTGGGGACCAGCAGTCCCATGTGCAGCGCACATACTACCCTAAGCACCTGCTATATGAACTCCACCTTGATGACCTCCGCCCGAGGATTAACAACTATGGGAATACCATTGCCTTGAGGAATACTACCATCAATAGGAGGAGGAATAGCAGCATCCCCCCATGTAGAACACCGTTACCATTAACTCGTGCTATTAACGGCTGAACCAAAATTCTTAACTGTTCCTGCCCATTGGCCATATTCTGTATCATTTCCATGAATTGTGCCATGCGTCTCTGACTTCCTGGAGCTCATTTTGAACTTGATCCATAACTCTTCATTGATTTCCTCGCATAGAGTATCTGTGAAAACCCAAATCCGCAATCCTGTTAACTAGTACAAAAAACCAAGCAGGGTAAGGATGAAGTCTCCGGGAACACCTGTTATGCAAATGAAAATGATAATGCAAAATGCAAACATGTATATGTGTTTCAGGGAGATCTCCCCCTTGATTCTAGTTCCAAGAATAATATTAGAACAGTAGAGATAAAGGGAAGGATCGAAAGCCTCGCTCATAAATAAAGTGAGAACCAAAAGTCATTGTACACAAATCACAAATAAGAAATACAACTTAATACAAGTATGTGACCCCATCCAACAAGTCTGGTGATGGTAAAAATACAAGAAAATAAAGACTACTGGGATACTGTCATACCCCAAATTTTACCCTCAGATTCTTTGTTTCTCTTGCATGTCATTCTAGGTCAATCATCTTGCATAATGCACAATTTATCATCCAGAATAAACTTGTTGAATTACAATCGAATTAGTCAAACAAAAAGTCAGTTGTGCGTAAAATCAGTGGATGGAAAATTTTAAAATCGAGCCTCCAAATGTCAGTGATATTAATCTAGCAAAATCTGCTTCCCTAATTCGACTAGGCCTCTTTCGCTGACATGGCTCAATCTCATGTGCCATAATTCTGTCTTTGACACATGTTTCGTGGATGCAACATTTATCAAACCACTTATAACCTCAGCCTCAAGGGTATACAAGCCTTGTTTCTTCACGCCTTTCAAGACATCCTTCGACCCCTTCATGACTCTTAGGATACTTTTCTCTCCTTGAAAAATGTATCCATTTCTGTCGAATTCACCAAGAGAAATAAAATTCCTCTTCAAGTCAAGTACATATCTGACTTCAGTTAATAACCTTATAGACTCATCATGGAGCTTGAATCTCACAGATCCAGTACCTGCAATTTTCCAAGATTTGTTGTTTCCCAACAACACAGATCCACCATATTGATCAAATAGCTCCTCGAACAATTCTCTATTTAGAGTCATGTGCCAAGTGCAACCTGAATCCATAATCCACTCTTTTCTCGAGTCGTCACTTGAAACCACAAGAACAACAGATGAGTCGAAGTCATCTTGAACAATGGCTGCATTGTCATTATCTCCATGATCTTTCAGGTGTTCAGGGCACACCTTTCTTGTGTGACCTTCCTTCTTACAGTGATAACATCAAATACCAGATGTTTCGCCACTATAAGACTTCTGTTGACTTTTACCTTTCTTCTTGTCGAACTTACCATCCTTTCGCAAGAAATTTCCCTTAACGGCTAAACCTTCGCCCACAAGGGTTATGGTTAACAAAGAAAACAAGGTAAAACAACAAGGAAAAATAATGATTGGTTATTAAACTGTTATTCTTTCTTTTCTCTTAGAACAAGATTACAAGTATACAAGAATAACAAAATAATTTCTCTCTCTTAAAATTAGGATTTTATCTTCCTATTTTTTCTTATATCAAGATTGAGAGACTAGCATCTTATTTATAAGAAAAAGTAGCACACTAACCTAATGGGATTTTTAACAGTTATCCATTACAAACAAACTTAGGGTATAAGCTAACTTAAACAATTGGGCTTACAAGCAAGGCCCAATCCAATATGCTAACAACCTAGCAATATTGACTATTGCATGTTAGAACAAACTTCAACTACAACACGCATTATGTTCGACAACAACATGCGATCAGACTTCGACCTCATGCTTAATATCTGTCGAACCAGAAGCTACCCTTCAACCATACTAGCGCTCGATCTAATATCTCACACGTAGAAACAAGCGAAGCAACCTTCAAGCATGTTGCACAACTCAAACAAAAAATTACAACGGATCATGGACGCCGTCGCCGCAAGTCGGATCTTACACAATGCTTCCAACTGAGTAACTTTTTTTCTCCTATTTTTATTTATGATTCTACCTAGATGCCTATCAATGTGAGTTCTTTTGTGATTATTAAGTAAGAGAGATGAATCCATTGTTACTATCACAAGAAAGCATCAATGGAAAGAGAGATTTTGCTTTGAAAAGTTCAATGATCCCAGTTGTTTTGAAACAAACCGAAAGATAACATGAAAGATTAATGAGAATGAGAGGGAAACTTGCATGAAAGAGAGGTCCATGTGTGAAAGGCGATGTAGGAATTTTTCTTTTAGTTGCAACTATGGTCCCCCTATTTTGTATTTTTTTATGGGTTTTGGTCCCCCCATTTTAAAAACCACGATTTTGGTCCCTTTTTTAAGTTTTGAGTATGATTTTAGTCCCCTCTCCAATTTTAAACTTTTTTTAATGATGTGGCACTATCTAAGATGACATGTCTAATGCCAGGTCATTTAAAAAAAAAAAAATTTAAGACTTTTTTCATTGACTAGGATAATTAACTTATTAATATTATTTTAATTAATTAATTAATGATTATTATTTTATTATTATTTTTTTATAATTAATTAATTAATCAAAAATTTAAATGAAACTCTTTGGGCCTTTAGTTATTGGACCATGTCTTTGGTCCATCTTTCTAACCCACAATTGAATTGTCGTATTTGTTTCAGTTTTATAAACACTTTTATCTCTTATACAAAAATCAATGTGGAACTTCTAAAAGACATTTTATACTACAACATTATCTCTTTCTTCACCGCAGGTTCATTTACACTTGTAGCCACACTCATCACAACCATCACGTTCGCTGCAGCTTTCATTGTCCCGGGTGGAAACAATCAAGACAGGGGAGTTCCACTCTTTTTGCATGATCAAACATTCAATATATTCATCATAGCTGATGCAATATCTCTTTTCATTTCTTCCACTTCAATACTTCTCTTCATTGGAATTCTCACGACTCGCTATGCTGAAAAGGATTTCTTGAAGTCCTTGCCGCTCAAGTTACTTTTTGGTCTCATCGCGCTTTTCTTCTCTGTTGTGTCCATGATGGTTACCTTCTGTGCTTCTCTTGCCATGATATTAAAGGGACATCAGAAAGTTATAATAACAACTATGTCATTTGCTAGTATTCCGGTTATTGTTCTTGTTCCTTCGTAGTTGAGACTCTTCATTGAGATTTTCAAGTCAACAGTATTATCCAATTGAAACTTAGCTAAATACGCTATGCATATTTATCTTGATATAAGTATATAATAGCATTCAAGAGCTAATTAACTCTATAGTTCTGTTCTTGGAGTTCAGTTAATGTGCTTTAGAATTTCAAAAGTATCAACAATAACGTAATTTTAATTATACTATGCGATTAAGAAACTATCATTATTATATGAATTTTATAATATATGATTCTTACATTTATAAAGATATTTAATTTGTTCATGATGATGATTAAAGAGCATTAGACACGGTTGAGAAGACAGGAAACTCTGAAGTAAAAAGCATTCTAATAGAACAAGGTATTCAAAGTGGAAAATCCATAACAAAACCAAAAACAGCTGCAACCAGAGAATTAAAACAAACCGTTAGCGACATAAAGCATGAACTCCATCACCAATTAGAACACACTCGCCAAACGCAAAAAAGCGTTTAAGGAATCGCAAAGCGTCTCAACAAAATGCACACAGAGGGGCTCAACAATGTAATAAACTCAACAACTGTCGTCGCAGTCCTCATAGCAACGGTTGCGTTCACTGCTATTTCCATCGTCCCAGGCCAATTCGTCGATAATCCAAAAAACATTCCTAAAGGAAAGTCGCTCGGGGAAGCAAACATAGCGCCGCAAGCTGCGTTTCTAATCTTCTTTGTGTTCGACTCGTTTGTGCTTTTCATTTCTTTAGCGGTTGTGGTGGTTCAAACTTCAATAGTTGTTATAGAAAGTAAAGCAAAGAAGCAAATGATAGCTATTATTAACAAACTAATGTGGTTGGCTTGTGTGCTTATTTTTGTTTCACTTTTGGCACTGTCTTTTGTAGTTATTGGGAAGCAGGTCAAGGTCTTTTCAGTTTCAGTTGTTATGTCAGATTCTGAGATATTAAACAATGAGCGTACTAAAATGTATGCTATTTAGAGATTAATATAATAAAATTTTCACTTTCACTCTTTCTCCATTTTACAATATAGATATTCAATTAAGTTAAATAATATGAGGTGTTAGAACAGTAGATTTGCACCATGAAAAAGAAGCATAAGTTGTTACAATGGACACAATTTTGAGAAGAATGAAAAATTACTGCAATGAAGAAGAAGATAATGTTGTAGTATAAAATGTCTTTTAGAAGTCCCACATTGATTTTTGTATAAGAGATAAAAGTGTTTATAAAGATGAAACAAATACAAGAACTCAATTGTAGGTTAGAAAGATGGAACAAAGACATGGTCCAATAACTAAAGTCTCCCAAAGAGTTTCATTTAAAATTTTGATTAATTAATTAATTATAAAAATTAATACTAAAATATTAATCATTAATTAATTAATTAATTAAAATAATATTAATAAGTTGATTATCCTAGTCAATAAAAAAAGTCTTAAATTAACTTTTTAAATATGACTTAACATTACTTTATAACTTTTTTATTTTATTTTTTATTTTTCTTACTGTTATTATTTATTAGATTAGATTTAACTTATTTGTTTTTTTAGATTTTTGTTTTGTGTTTAGGAGTGGGCTTGGCCCAGCTGCACATAAAAAAAAAACTAAATTTATTTTCTCAATTATTTACTATTTATTTTAATTATGTGATTTAATTTCAATGCGTCAATCATTAAAAAATACTAAAAGAAAATTTTAGGTTTTAATTATTTGTTTTTTTTAATTGTTTTCTCTTTAAATTTGTTTAATATTATTAGAAAAATACCAAAAATATGTTTATCACTTATTTTGATATTTTTCTTATTTTTAGCTTAATTAGAATTTGGTTTAATTAGTTTTTATTTAATCCTTAATTTAATCTTGATAAATCTTTGATTTCATTTTTTATTAATTTTCGATGTTCATTTGTGAATTTAATTCTCGTTGCTTTTAGACTATGATTAAGCCCTAATTTTGACGTCCTATCTTTTGAGTTTTTGATTTGTCTGAGTATTTACTGTATATATTGCTACTCATCTTACACTTGATGCTAGAGGTTTTCTCTTTGTCCTTCATTTGCTTTTACATCATTCCAAAGGAAAAGATTCCCCCTGCTGACTGCCATGTCATATTTAGCCTAACCTTAGGTCTTTACCCTTTACCCTAGCCTTAGGAGTATAGTCATTGTACTATATATGAGTGTCCCGCCATGGACCTTTATTTTCCCGTTTAACTTAACCTTAGTTTAGAGTCGTCGCACTCTATGTAGGTGTCTCACCGCAGACATTTACTTTCCCTTTGGAACCTTGACCACAATCAAGAGTTCCTTAACCTTATTGAGGGGAACTACAATTGTTGTGATTCTATTCCTAGTCAAGATACGTAGACACGAAATGCGATGTCTTAGCAAGCATACTTTGTATATACTTTAGATCTTTACCTTAGCACAATTCCTTTAGCAAGCACACTTTAGCATAACACAAATACTAACAAGAGGTTCCTGTAAAGTACTATAGATACTTAGGATGCTAACACCTTCCCTAGGTATAACCAACCCCCGAACCTTAGATCTCTTAGCTGTGTTGTTACATAACACACTTAGGATTTTCTTAGATCTTTACCATTTTCTTTGGATAAATCAAAGCTCGATGGTGAACTTCATGATTTGTGATTCAAGTTAATTTAATAGCTTAATATCCGATTCTCACCGTGATAGAAATGGCAAATTCACTAGGGACCCATTCCCTAAGAGGGTTAAGCCCACCTTGTTTGTATTTGTGTTTTCTTTCTTGAATATTTGTATATATTTGTACATATATCTGTTTGTGTATGGGTTTTTATGTATGTAAGGTTGTTACCTTGATTGGTGAGATAAGTCCTAACCCGAACTTTAGCGTACACCTATGATAGGATTGTGGTATAATCAATAGTTAGATTTTGGGAGTAGTCCTAACATGTCTAGCATATGATAACCACGCTCAGTGGAGCCCCTTTTGGGATTACTAGTGTCTGATGCGAGTAGTCGTATTGGCATTACTTTTTTCGACCTAGTAGTCCGTGAAGCTTAGGACCTTTAGTTACACTTAATCCCTCCTGTTATACCCTAAATTTTTATCCCTAGATTTCCATCATCATTCTAGGAGCATCAACATTTTTTATCTAACCATAACCTCTTTCAAGTTTGATCTTTGTTAAGATACATGTGAATTAGGGTTCCACACAGTCAGGAATCGGGGTTTCTATGGTGTGATCGGTCAAGGTCTTGGATTGATTCTCCATAAATAACCTCTCCATACCATCTAGGGTACTATATTGGGTCAAGTATGAATCCAATTTGAGGTTGTCCCCCAAAGAAGAAGGACAGTAGAGTCCAAGACCCCCGATTAGGGTTTCTGATTAGAAAAGTCAACTATAGTTTGACTTTTGATTTAAATGTTATTCTAATGGTGTAATCATGGTCCATAAATCTTATATTACTTATTGGAGTCCCCTCAAGAAGTTTCAAGACCTCAGGGAATCCAGAATACCAACAGTCGATTCAGAGGTTTTCGATCGTTCAGTTCGTCTGACTGAAAAGTCAACCCATTGACTAACAGGGTTTTGACCCAAAATTGAATCCAATTATGTTCCCAATATTATTTCATATCTAATCATGAATTTTTATAACCATTGGATCAAGAATTGAGAAGTAATTGAAAAGTCGGGAAATTAGGATTTTGAAAGGGGCAAGGCCATAACTTCCTAACCACACACCCAAATGGAGTGGTTCAAAGCTGGTTGGAAAGGTCTTGAGAAGTCCTACAAAAGTGCCACAGTGACCGATGTTCAAAAAAGGAATGGATTTTGAGTGATGAGTAAAGACAAAGCAAGAGGGGAAAAACACATAAATTTTTTTCATGTTTTTGGCACTTTTAAGTCAATTTTTAGTCAATTTCGAGGGGATTTTTGACATAGTTACACTTGTGTTGCAGTGATAATCGTGATACCAAGCTATTGATTAACTTGAACCTTAATTCTTAAATTCACAACCGGACTTTAATTTATCCAAAGGAAAGGTCTAAAGAGAGAAAGAACCTTTTGTGCGATGTTACAACAACGCTAAGAGATTCGGGGATCGGGGGTTGGTTATGCATAGGGTAGGTATTTCACATCCTAAACATCTATAATACTCTACAGGAACCTTTTGTTTATTTGCATGCTAAGTTTGCTAAGTGTTTGCTATAGATTGAGATTGGGTAAGAGGTGTAGGTTAAGACCTAAGGATAGTTTCTAAGTTTGCTCACAAAGACATCGCGTCCTCTGCCTACGTATCCTAACTAGGATAGAATCAGAGCAATCGTAGTTCACCTTACTAGGGTTAAAGAACACTTGATTATGATCAAGGTTCAAAGGGGGACAAACATATCCATGCTTGTGTAGAGTTTAAGAAAACTCTCTAGATCTACATTGTACACTCAAGAAAGGGGAGTAAGTAATCATATCCATGATTCTTACATAGAGTTTACAAACTCTATCCTAAAGTTCTATGTTGCAAGACCAATTGGTTCTATTCAGACCAAAGGGAGGAAAAAGGGGGAAGGTTGCTCGTCAAGATATCGCATCTTGTGCCTACGTATTCTCATTATCCAATGAGAAATCAGAGCGGTCGTAGTTCGGGCACGAACTACAGAATAAGGATCTATTGGTTCTTTCCAGACCAAAAAGAGGGAGAAGGCTCTATTCAGACCTATGAGTTTAAATCCTATTGGTTCTATCCAGACCAAAAGGGGGGAAAAGGGGGGAAGGTTGCTCGTTAAGATATCGCATCGTGTGCCTACGTATTCTTATTATCCAATGAGAAATCAGAGCGGTCGTAGTTCGGGCATGAACTACAGAATAAGGATCTATTGGTTCTTTCCAGACCAAAAAGAGGGAGAAGGCTCTATCCAGGCCTAATGAGTTAAATCTCATTGGTTCTATCCAGACCAAAAAAGGGGAGAAGGTTCCATCCAGACCTTTGAGTTTAAGTCCTATTGGTTCTATCCAGACCTAATAGGGGAGAAAGGTTCTATCCAGACCTATGAGGTTATATCCTATTGGTTTTATCTAGACCAAAAGGGAGAGAAGGTTCTATCCAGACCTATGATTTAAATCCTATTGGTTCTATCCAGACCAAAAGGGGAGAAGGTTCTATCCAGACCTACGAGTTAATGAGCTATTTATGACCCAAGGGTCAATAGAGAGACTTTCCTTTGGAAGGGAAAAGAGGAGGCAACTGGGATGAGAACTAAAGAGTTCCATCACTTGGGGAAGAAATACTTATCAAAATAATATAAACAATCAAGTATGATGAATATAAGGGGTATGGTTACAAATAAGCAAGCATGCATATCACAATAAGCAAGGATTAGATTGAGATAAACGGTTACAACCAAGAATGATGTATCTTTACAAAGATAAAGGTAGCAACCCAAGGGATACATATTAATAAATATGGAAGAAGCAATCATGCAAGTAAGTCACAACTTAAGATGATCATGTTGTAAACTCAAGGTGTATCAAATGTAACAACATTAGGCATTGATGATAAGCAAACATGCAAGGAATGCCACAACAGTTTAAGTTCAAAATTTTAGGAAGGAAACAATAAGCTTATGGTAACAACCAATGAGAAACAAAGTCTTAACATGTTAACAAACACAAAGGAATCAATCACAATCAAATCTTACAAGATGAACTAAGCATAGTTCAAAAGAAGTTCAACAAGATGCAAGGTAACGACCCTAAAAATGAACCAACTTTCAAGTAGGCAAAAGGCATTATGAACATAAACAAATTGAAATATTCTTTCATTAAATGAAAATAGACAATATTATGAACATGTTGCAAAAAGAATGGATCAAAAATAGCAAAACATGAAGAAGTTATGCAATGTTGAATTTTCATGAAGAAAAAAGAAATAACAAGTGATAAAAAAAGAAATGGCCATGACAAGAGTTGAACTCAGGCCCTCATGCTT